GGAGAGTCCCCCTCCCTACAGGAAGCCACGACCACGTGTCACGGCAGGGAAAATGGCCGTGGATCCTGTTCGTCACCCGCTGCGTAGTTCGTGGATGGAAGCAAAATTTTGCGAACGGTGCTGTTCATGACCCGAATTGGTCATGAACAGAAGCGTTTGTGACCCGAGGTACCACTGTAGTTATAGGTATAACTATAGATATAACTATTATAGTTCAACTCATGTGGCACCAGCTTGGGGAAGGCTATTCTAGTTCCCATATTAGCTTTTTGTTGGCAGATCAAATCACATTTCAGTTTTAAATGGCTAGTGACATGATTATTCCAGATATTGTTATTCACTATCATTTTTCTCTTTAAATGTCTATTTATAGAATGTATTTTTTGGGCTAATACCATTAAACCAAAACTATAGCTTAATGCAACATAACCTAACAGAGTAAAATCCAAATTAATTAAACCTAACTAATCAGCATTAGACAGATCAGCAAAGCACCCAAGCAATTGCTCTCAAATAATCTCTGGAATTACACAATTTTTCCTGGCACTGAAAGTGTAACGGGTGAGAGCAGAGCAGATGGTCCAAGAAGGAGTTCCACAGTGTAGATACTGCTTGGAGAAGGCCCTGTCTTGGATGAATCCCAGTCAGCAACAGCAGTCTGAGATTCATTCTCATGATACTATCCTTACTATAAAGAAAGTCCATAACAGTCACTAGGCTGACTAAGTGATGCATTTCATGATTATTTTAAGGTAATTTCTTATGATACCTTAGTACCAAATGCACACAAAAGTTATAGATGTTGTACGCATGCATAAATTGCTGTTTATCCCATTAAGGTGCCCACAAACTGAATTAGTTTTTCTTTGTGATGCTCACTGTGTGTTTTGAATGGGAGGTAATGTCTTTCAGTAATTCCTGTGCTATGTATGATGCAGATTGTCATATATAACCATTGAAAGGGGATTTAAAGCATTGTAAAAATAATCCATTAGTTATTCAGCCTTAATGTTCTAGATGCTATTATTTTTTCAGTAATATTCCTCCTCCTTTTTAATGCTATTGCTAGCTATTGTCACATTTTGATTTAAATTCTGTGGTTGGAACATGGAACTACTAGAAATCTAATAGTGGTTACATGTCATTATTTTAAACTGATATCTCTCTCCTTCAAAATGGCTCATTCCCTCAGTGTGATGATTGGGAAACAGCAATAACCTTATTCTATGTGTGCAACCTTTTGTTGAAATTATAGGCTACTTTTAAGTACTATTGTTATACAGAACAATAAATATTATTAGCTATTTATTTCAACCACAAGTAATATTTGTCTCTTCATTAGAACCTGTTAATTGTTGAATATATCTTTTTTTATTTTCCGCTATTCGTGGGGTGGTGCAGTCTCTGGAGCTCCAGATACCATAAATGGTCTTCATTCTTGTGGAGGAATTCCACAGTTGAATCTGCTTGCAAATTTTTCTTTCAGTTCTGCATCTAACAGTTTTTCCTTAGGAAGGTTTTAATTTTTGCTCATTAGCCAATATATAGAGAAAGCAGATTTCCTGCTGGTAGAGATTCTTTTGAACAATGTGAGGTACCTCAGCAGCGTTCTCTTGGTTTCCAAATTGCTGGCATTGCATAACAATTAATGTAAACTGAGTTGCTTTGTACATAATAAGGTTATTTATATAGTATGGTTTACTCTAGAGATATCAAGCCAGATGTTGAACTACAATACTCATCATATGTGACTGTTGGTTGGAGTTGAAGGCTAGCACATTCTACATTTTCATTTACATTAGTTGATGCTCTGTTTCAGCAAGTGGTTTGCCAGTTGAAGTGGTTTCAATTGCCATTACAGTTGAAACATGGCTTTCCAAAATCTTAGGCAGAGCTCTTTCCTAGTCCCATTTTCTAAGATCTTTTGATACCACTTGAGACTTTTTGCATTCAAACTATGTACTGTTCCATTGAAAAGAGACCCTTCTAATTAAACAGTTTGATGCAAAATTGCATAATGAGTTATTGATTCTCTTTCTAATTACAGCTGAATACTGTCTAATTCATTAGAAGTTATGCATATCATTTTTGATGTTCTGCTTATATAAAGGAGATTTCCTGCATCTGATTGCTTTGGCTAAAGCTAAATTTTACAGAGAATAATAAAAGAAACTCCCTTTCTTGCATGTTTAGTCATCTTCATACCATTTTATCCATGCTTTTAAATACCAGAATTACCAAAGAGCAGTAATATTCCTCAGGAAACCTATAATAGCCTTCTTGCATCTGATGTCTCTCCAGATGTGTTGAATTACAATCTCCATCATCTTTCAGCCATCATGATTTTAGCTATTCTGACTGAGTAGAATGGAGTTCATTATCTACTACATTTAGTAGGCACAAGATTGGGGAAAACTGAGATAACACCTTCTTAGCTTGAAGCTTTCATAGAATGACAATTTAAAGTGAGCAAAACAAGTTAATTTTTCTTTCTTAGTTGGGTTTTTTAAGGGAAAAGGTGAGAGGTGAGGATTTTTAAAAATAACTTTTCTTCCTTTGCAGGTAGTCTTTCCAAGTACTCAGGCAGATACTGAAAAGGTTGAAAAATCAGGAACTGTGCTGGTGGAAACTGGGCCAGTATCTTATAACCATGAGGAGGATGTGGAAGAAGAAGAAATTGAAGAGGAGGAGGATCACTGTGTGAGCGCCCTTAAACTAATGGGAGGAAATGGTAGGCTGATTTGTGCATCTTAAGACCCCCCTATCAAAGAGGATCTCCACTTCCCAAGGAATCTATAATAGTGTCCCATACTGTATACTTATGAGAATATCTGTGTGGCTGCTTCTTCTCTACCTTTCACCAGCACACATAGTAGAAAGATCCCATAGGACTGTTCAGGTCAAATAATGGAAAATGGGGAGGGGAGGGGAATTTCAAGCTGCTGTGCTTCCTCTGACTTTGATTCTTGTTTACATGGCAAATACAAACCATTGTTTGCTGGTTTGAGGACATTGCCAAATGAGGATATAAAACAATAATTGGAAGTGAATGGAAGAGAGAGCATGTGAGTGTTCCTAACTCCTGATTGACATAAAGCACAGTCATGATTTGGCCTTGTTTCATACTCCTGGTGAAGAATATGTAAGTAATCTATAGGGGAACCTGTGCCTAGAGTGCAAGAGCAAGCTGGGGTTCCAAAATAGAAATAAGTTGGGAATGCTGGGGTTTCCCCTAAAGATCGTTTGGGGAGAAGTGAACTTCAAAGTATTCTACTATGCAACATTGTTGCATCTGTAAATAAAGCACAAATATTAGAAAATGCCATAAGCCACCTGTAACCTCCTTCCAAAGATAATTGTACCTGGATAAATGCTGCAATCTCTGAAACTTCTTAGGACTCAAGAGAGTTCCATATAGGCTCTGTAGCCCACCTGTCCAGTCCACAGAGCCTTTCCCCAAACACCACTCCTCATCTTTCTTTGTATGGAGAGGTAGCAGCAATTACTCCAAACCTTCTCCTGTGCAGGAGAAAAATAGTTACTTCCTCCATTTGCAGGAAAGAAACTAGGAGGTTTCTCTGCATATAGGAAATGTTTGCCTTTTAATCATTCAACTGTAGACTGGAGTACTTCCACCCTCCATCTGAGCAGAAGATGGTGGAAAAAGAAAGGGCTACTGGGCAGATTCAGTGACCCCTGTCCCTGGTGTATAAGGTGGTAAAGTAGTATTTTTAAAATAGTAGATATCTAGAGATTACTCCTTTATTGTAGCAGTTTACTCCCTAGCAGGATAGGATTTATGAAACTGTAAAAATAGATGACAGAAACATTGGGAAAATAGATATGTGCAGTCTGGAGAAATCCAGCATTCATATGAAGAGTTATCCATTTAAGCTAAGAATCTGCAGCTGGAGGCCCAAGATATTGCCCCCTTCTAAGGGACCAAAAAAAGAAAAGGCAATGAAAGGGGGGTAGCATTTGTTGCTATAGAACTCACCTGTCAGATATATTGGGGTGTGGAATATGAAACTTTGGTTTCCATTCTTAACTCTGTTCTCCAGATGACTTTAAAAAATAATTAAATGAACAAGTATATAGAATATCAACTAACATTTAATGCTTTTTAATAAACAGACGATAGCATCTGGTTTTCCAAGCATAAATAACAATCATAAAAATTTCTCCCAAAAGCCAGTAAATAGTATTCAATAACTGCTGGGAGAACTAAGGGTATACCTCTGTTTGAACTACAATATGATTGTGTATTGAAGCTTCTCATTACAACATAAATATGTACATATAGCCAATGACTTGATGTGGAACATACTAATTGTGAGGTCTGACAGTGTCATGGGGAGATGGCTGAGTGGAGTGTTGATTATTTACTGTGTAAGTTTCTCAATACCCCTAATTTACCAGTGGATGCTGATTTCAACTTTTGTGCAAGGTCTATAGAATAATCATAACAGATTGGCTTGATTTGAGTGGAAAGAAACTATGCAAACTATAGGGAACTCTTTTTCCTATGGCATATGCAATTATATTTGCATTATCAAAACACTGTGCCCCACTGTCAAAAAAGTATTTAGTCAGCCACCAATTGTGCCAGTTCTCCCACTTAAAAAGATGAGAGAG